ATGTTTGTTACATGCTGATCTCTGTCCAAATGTAGTACCTGGCCCGTCATTGACTGACAAAATTGTATTCGGCCGTGCTGAAATACAAAATGAGGCATATAGACATGGACTAGGGTGCCGAGGAAGTCGACAAAGAGTTCAATCAAAACTATGCATAATGGAACGAACCGGTGAACAGACCCAACACGACCCGCACAGCATGAGGGTTCCCTGCTTTTGACACAACGCCAACCAGAGAAGGACAAAGCACGGTCTCCTAGCTCGAAATTTTGCAAGGAGTCTTCTTGTTTAACCTTTTGCATGATACGAGGTCTGAAGACTTAGACATGTAGTAGCCATGTGCTCCGATTCCCCTGCTCTCTTGGTCACGGCCAACGAACTGAAGTCTCTAAGCAATTGTGGCATCAAGGCTCAACGTCGCCATGCCCAAGACTATGTCAACTGCTGCTGAAAGCCTTATGTCTTTCAACGCCAAACACACATCACTCGCTAGCCTGATGCTCCTGTGGTTGTCCGTCTGTTGCTTCGCCTGCCATCGCACCTCGTTGGATGACTGACTTCACGTCATTCAAGACGCTCGCGGTGAGCTGGGGGAGGTCCGTCCGACTTTGCCGACTATTGGTCGATCAGAGTCTCTCGAAGACAGGCACTATCTCATCAATAGCAAGGTTTCTATTATGAACATAGGGGAACAAGAAGCCTCCCGGCGTGTTGCCTAGCATATCCTTCAGCTTGGCGTAGTCAGCCAACCACACCTGAATTTGTAGTTGATGCGTCGGATTCGCGTGTTTGGTCTCATCAAGGGCGATGGAAGCCCAGTCTGCAATGTGATCGTGCTGTTTGTCTCTTTGGGCCGTGTATCCTCAAGAGTGAGATACTCAGCCAATCCGTCGTAACTTCATCAACAGCCGTTGCTCATTTGTATCACTTTGACTCTCATTTGCTAATTAAATCCTCCAAGAATCTCTGGTCATCTCTCAGGGTGTGATTCCTTATTACTGATTTCTCGTTTCCTGGCTGTAGAACTGGGTGCGCTGACATGGGGGCGTTTGTGTAACCGATGGCGTTCGAGGCAGCCATGAGGTATAGCCCTCGGTTCCGCGTACCCTTCGCCGGTCGTTGAGTATTCGCAGGTGTTAATGCGCTGTTCGAAGTCCCAACACTAGACACAAACAAAGCATCGAGACGGCTGACCGCCAGGAATGTCTCTGCGTTATCTACGGCAAACACGTAAGAAACGCGCCGAAATCCACGATATTGTATATGCGGGACATTTCCATGAAAACCACGCTTTACCCCGAATTACAATCTTCATCGCCTACTGTCTTCACTTTACACTCCTCTCCCAAGCTTCTTCTCGGCCGTGACGTCTCCCATTTTCTTACAGGTTCCTGGGAACCCCACCGCCGGAGAAATGTCAAAAAACAAGCACGTATTACTCAGATAATGACCCGCGCGTCAGCTTGAGCATTTTAAAAGCCGCCGGAGGAGCTTGGAAATCCCGCGCTTTGCTTCACTTTCTCTGCAGGAGATCTCTGGAAAACCATTTGCGCAGACCCGACCAGCTTATGACTTCGGCATCCAGCTGATCAAACCACCGACAAAAAAGGTGACCGGTCCATCGACCTCGTTCAAGACAGTGACGAAAGAGGGGCCTTCGATGGAAAGCCAGCTTCGAAGAGACACAGGAGAAAACCATCCGTTGCCGGGAACATCATGCCAGCCGCCTTGGCGGCGAAGAAGCTGAGGCCTCAGCGAGTACGTTACTGGTCCTTAACCGCCCAGCTTGTTGGAGGGATTGTCCCTGTTACAGAAAATGTGAACGTGCCTTATCCCGTAAACGCACCTCTAAGTCTCAGACCGAGTAGATTGTAATGCTAAGCAAGAGGAAAATCGTATATATCAATAACATGTGTGGCGATATAACATCTCATAATGCCGCGCGGAGAAACTGAGCAAGTTGTTGCCATTTTGAATTTGGTATCTTGGTACACTTTGAACTACCTTGGAGAAGTTAAACCGCTACTCCCAGAAACCAGTACCCCCCTCGCCCTTTTTGACGGAAACGCCGAAGCTCAAAGTCGAATGCAAGTCACACACTTTGCGTAGAACCTATAGGTACATCTGAACCGTCCGAATCATCCTACGCCCGGCCAACCCAGCCAGCATTGATGAAGAAGTCGAATATGCGGCCGCCCTTCTGAGTGTCTAGCCTGCATATCTCCTTGGCCTGTTTCTTTTTGAGAGTCCCATTGCTCTTCAATGCCTCCTTTAGAATCTGCTCCTTGATCATTAGGTAGGGCTTGGGCTGCAGCCGCACCACTTCGCAGAGCTTGGCTTCCTCCGGCGTGAGGAGATGCAAGTCTGGCGCGCCGTCTTGCGTGAGCTGAATCGGGGTGACACCGGGTAGCGGCGCGGCCATGTATTTCTGCCGTGTAACAGGGCCAGATGGGCCCGTACCGTTGGCGACAATGACGGTGCCATTGGCGGCTGCTCCGTTGACAGCGCCATTGGTCTGGGGTTTGCTCTCTTCCTTGGGAGGAATGGTACCATTAGTACCATCAGGAGCTGGCGCGGACCGAATTGGCAATTCGGGGGCCACGAGCAAGGCGGCGCCGCTTGGGGGATCTGGTACAGCAGCAGCCTTAGACCGCTGTGCCGAGGCCAAGCGGTCTCTATCCATGGATCCCATAGGCACCGCCTTTTGCGCTCGTTGTGACTTTTCTGTCTCGTACTTTTCACCACTGCGTAAATCTCCGATCCGCACACCTCGCCATTCTTGTAGCTGCGAAATAGCTTGCCTCAAGTTCAACTCGTCAATGAGACCCTGACACAAGCTTTCGAAGTCATCGTGGTTCATCATCCGAGCGAAAGGTTTGGCCTTGTTCAGTAAGTCCCTCTCTTCCTTACTCCTCTTCTTCTCGACCTTGGTGTTTTCGCGGTATTCCAGCAGGTTGTGCTCAAACACAACCTTTTTCCTGTCCACACGCTGCGTGAGACGGCAATTGTAGATGTCCATCACTGTCAACTTGAGCTCCATCTCGGGCTCCAACTCGCCTGTCCTAGGGTTGAGACCATCGCCCGGATCAAACTGCATGAGCTGTACAGCTTCTTCGGCTTCGTTTGCGTATTCGGTCTCGAACTCCAAGCGACCTGGCATGTATCCTTGAATCTCGTGACATGACGGTACAGAGGCTGTGGGCTTCGTCTTGGGCTGCAGCGTAGGTGCGTTCTTGGCGGCTTCCTTCCGCTCCTCTATCCTTCGCTTCTTCTTCGCTTGAAAGTCTTCGCGAGAGATTTCGTTCGCGAGGTCCATATCGTGTGGACTGCATCGTTTCGGCAACGGGAAACGAGGAGATTCGACGTAGGCTTTGTAGTAGTGATCTCGCACCTCATCCTTGTGGCGGAAGCCACCAATATGGTCGGCAATGTCGGCCCATGACCCCAAGCCGTAGATTTCCGCTCCTTCTAGTAGCAGCAGTTCTTCGTCGGCACCCCAATCTCGGTCGAAGATTGGGAAAGAATTTTGTTCGATGACACGGTATGGATGTGATTCGGGTTTATGGTTTGAACTGGACTTTCCCTGGGAGAAGCATTGGACGCAGAGATCGTAGTCGTTGCAGGCAGAGTGCGCGCATCTGATTCGGACCTGCATTTACGACAGATGTTTGTTAGCGCGATGCGCAAGGTGTGGAGGGCGGGACATTTGGGTATGCGCCGGGGCGCAGACGCGGGGCACATCATCATCAAAAGTAATAAAGTCAACAAAACACATACCGTCGAGGTGATGTCTACAGAGCAAATGTCGCAATGATATTTGACACCGCCCTCGCCACCCCTTGTGACGGTCTTCTTTCTGATAACGCCCATTTCGTCCAGGGCTGCGGTGGGGACGTGGAGGCCAGCCCCTGTTCAGGCTGATCCGACGACGGGAGAGTTATTATGATGCAGTAGAAGGCATATGATGGGACTACGGGAAGCGATAAGTGATGCGACGTGACTGGTACGTGGTTCTCGATGTGGATGTGAGGTTTGACGATGATATCGATGGATTCCGGATGACGAGACGCGCGCGTGTTGACGAGGATTGATTTCCAAGGTGAGCCGTCGAAACACAGCCAGGCTCCAATCGAATTGAATCCGGAGATCGATGGCGGAACCTGGAGCGATGGTTCTCCCGAAGTCTATCCGGCGCTCGGGCCTCCGACTGTCATCGCCTTGCTGACCTATGTCACTTCAGCCGCAGTAGGGATCAAGCCACACTCACCGCAAACAAATATCCGATAGCGTCTTACATAATACACTCTGGACTCAAGCCACGATGCCCCGGGCATTGCTGTTTTCGGGCTGGACGGCTCCGTCATCCCCGCCATTTGGTTCGGTCGACGGACCAATGCCCGGACTGTCTCTTGACATGCACACCACTTTTTGGCATGTACGAAGTACAGTAGCCCTTTCCACAATACCAGCTTCTCTTCGACCAACTCTCGCTCGTGGTGTGAGATGAGTTCCAGCATATTCATTCGACATGCAATAACAAAGCCTTGAGGAGAAGAATTGCCCTTCTGGCTTACCAAAGTCTTCCCTTTCTCAATGCAGTGTCCCACAATGACGTCTCTGCCGAGGCAGGTTCGAGCTTTCCGCCGCTTTCCCGCCGCTGCTTACTGCGGATAAGATGGCACCGATGGGCGCACGACAATGGTGCGCTTTGCGATGGTGGGGTTCGCGGGGCAGTCTTCGCGGTCCCCTCCTTTTCTCCAACAAACCCGACAGGCATGGGCGCGAAACCTCTCGAGGCAGGGATACGACCGTCACTTTTGATGAGCTGTTTTGTGGCAGCTCTACACCTCCTTATTAATACCTAGCCTGACTGTCATTCGGCAGGTCGCGGCCGAGGGCTGGACTTTTCTCTCTCGTCCGTACTAAGTTAGTCTGAACAATAGCAAGATTGTTTAAATAAACTCGAGGCTCTTTTTTTTCTCGGCCCTTTCACTTCCTGCTCTGGGTCTCGCGGCAGTACTCAGATTTGTTACTTGTTGTCGCAAAGCTTCCCCGCCTTCATTTATACGTTCCACAGCGTGGAGAGGCGAAGCATCACCATGCCTGAGAAGATCCTCGACGACATCTCCCACAGACGGTACAACCCGTTGAAGGGCACATGGCTACTGGTGTCCCCTCACCGAACCAAGCGTCCCTGGCAGTAAGAATGCGCTAAACCTGACTTACAATGCGACATGCGCTGAGGTGGACAGAGGCCAGCAGGAGGGACCGTCTACGACGACGCTTCCTGAATACGACCCAAAGGCATGTTCTCATCGAGTCGCATAGAGTCAACAGGCATGAGCTGACTAGATAAAGTGCTACCTCTGCCCTCGAAACCCTAGAGCGGCTGGTGACTCCAACCCCGACTACAAGAACACCTTCGTCTTTGTCAACGACTACAGCGCCGTCAAGGAGGAGCAGGCTGAGTACCACCCAGAGACAGAAAGCGATGGTATGCAACATGCACCCATTCACAGGCTTCAAGCGAATCGAACCCTGACATTGCAACTCGAGCAGACCTCGCCTCGTCCCTGTTGCGTGCGGAAGCGGCCACGGGCAAATGCTACGTGCTCACCTTCTCCGAGAAGCACCACGTCACGCTCGCCGACATGACGACCGCAGAGATTGCCCCCGTCATCGACGTCTGGACGCAAATCTACGCCTCTCACCTCTCTCCCTCCAACCCGCTGTCCAAGGTCGCCGCCGCCCTCGAGCTGCCCCCCGCGACGCCCGCGAGCACCGTGCCCCAACCCAAGCACCACCTGCGCTACATGCAAATCTTTGAGAACAAGGGCGCCGCTATGGGCTGCTCGAACCCGCACCCGCATTGCCAGATCTGGACGACGTCGACCATGCCTGAGGAGCCGGGTACCGAGCTGGTGCAGATGGGTAAGTACCGTGATCAGCACGCTGGAAGGCATCTATTGGCGGACTACGTCAAGGTCGAGATTGAGAAGAAGGAGCGCACGGTGTTTGAGAATGAGCACTTCCTCGTCGTTGTTCCCTGGTGGGGTGTCTGGCCTTTTGAGGTCTTGATTCTTCCCAAGAGACACGTTCGCGCGCTGGTCGACCTGTCCGCCGAGGAGAGGTTGCAGTTTGCCGAGGCCATTCAGGAGGTTTCCAGGAGATACGACAACCTCTTTGAGACACACTTCCCTTACAGTAAGTTCAGCTTGTGAAGGGCAATATTGAAGATGTCACTGACGACTCGATAGGCTCTGGGATCCACCAAGCACCTCTCGATGCCACCGAAGAAGAGGCCGAGAACAGCTACCTCCACATGCACTTTTACCCCCCTCTGCTTCGATCAGCCACCGTCCGCAAGTTCCTTGTCGGGTACGAGCTGATGGCTGAGCCTCAGCGTGACATCACACCGGAGCAGGCCGCCGCTCGACTTAGGGGCACCGGCGGTGAGCTGTACCGCAAGACCATTTAGTGAACCAGACAAAAGACCATACCATGAATAGTACCATCTTCGTAATTACAACATTTCTAAGCTTTATCTATCCTCGTCACTTCGTGATTTAACTGAAGAGATCCTAAAGTCCCATTTCTGCGCAGAAGCTGAGATCACAGGATGCCTTCATGTGGTATCAGGTTATCGTCTCTAGCGGCTTCCGCAGGCTACTTTTCAACAATACCAACCCTTTACGGGCTAGTAACGTAAAAGTCGCGCACCAATGGCATCCAAATCAAGGCAGTGGTGGCCAGGGTGAAGGGGAAGTATTGCGGCAGACCAAATGTCATGCTCTTGAAGACGAACAACTCGCTGGCAAAGTGACCCAACGCAACGACGTAGGTCCAGATGGCCAGGTCGTACATGTGGGCGTGGTGCAGATGGTACGCGGCATAAAGACGGACGATGCTCGTGAGGAACGTCCAGGTGCCGAAGCAGCGCGCAGCGAGAGGTGTCGCCTGATCCACAACGTCCGTCGCGCCGGCGGGGGCGGGGATGTACTTGTTGACCGAGTCCTCCGGGTTGAACTTGTCGGACTTGGGGGCGAGCTTCGTGTTGCGAACGTATTTACCGTCGTAAAGGCGGCGAGAGTAGTGGAGAGTCAGGAGGTTCTGCGCCGAGTTTCCGATGGAGATGAGAGAGAGCTGAGAGTGTATTGCTGGTTAGTGACATGCTTCTGGCGGGGGTTCAGTTCGTTCTGAAAAACCTTACCAGGAGCATGTAGTAGGGTAAGATACCCTTTGCTGGGGGAAGCAAATCCGTGAGAGACACCATTATTGCTGTATTCAAATCCCGTGAAGCTCAATTGGCGCTGAGTGGTGTAGACTTAGAAAGGAGGGAAATTGAGTCGCAGAGGAAAAGAGTGGACAATCACACCGGCATCTCCTTAGCTCAGCGTTAAGTTGCCCCAAGCTTCTGGTCCTTCGTATTCGGATTGAATCCAAAAAAGAAAAAAAGAAAAAGAAAAAGATGGAGAGAATGTTTTGTGGCTGGAGCTATCGCATTGTGGCTTGACTTTGGCTCATCAAAGCTGGCCAAAGCTCTCCGGCAGCTTGGCGTAGGTTCAACAATTGAGGGAGGTGCCGAGGTGTGGCTGATGCGATTTTGGAAGTGCATTTTCCACCATTTGCCCATCCCAACATTTTGTCTGTGCTCCTGTGCGAATTCCACGGAGGATCTGGAAAGCTTCTTCCCCTCCTTTCAGCAAATAGCAAATTCTCGATTTCATTCAGCGAGATCAGTGACGACTCATCACAATGGGCGGAATCGCCGATCAACTGGCCTATGTGCCGCAACCTGTCCAGCTTTTGCTAGCTGGTATTGGTGCTCTCTTCCTTACCTCCAAGGCTCTGAGCTATGTCAAGTTCGTCCTTGGTGTCTTTTTGCTTAGTGGCACCAGCGTATGTGCTCCCGAGCATCTCGCCCACCTATCATTGATGTCCAAACACTGACAACGAAGTCGCACAGCTTCGCAAGTATGGCAAGCCTGGCACCTGGGCCGTCGTGACCGGTGCATCAGACGGTCTCGGCAAGGAGTTCGCCTACCAGCTCGCCAGTAAGGGCTTCAACCTCGTCCTCGTCTCCCGAACCCAGTCCAAGCTCGAGACCCTCGCCCACGAGCTCGAGGCCAAGTTCGATGGCAAGATCCAGGTCAAGATCCTCGCCATGGACTTCTCCCGCGACGACAACAACGATTACGACAGACTCGCCCAGCTTGTCAACGGCCTTGACGTCGGTGTTCTCATCAATAACGTCGGCCAGAGCCACAGCATCCCCGTTCCCTTCCTCGAGACCGCCCGCAGCGAGCTCCAGAACATCGTCGCCATCAACTGCCTCGGCACCTTGAAGACCACCCAGGTCGTCGCCCCCATCATGCAGCAGCGCAAGCGCGGTCTCATTCTCACCATGGGCTCCTTTGCCGGCTGGATGCCTACCCCTTACTTGGCCACCTACTCTGGCAGCAAGGCCTTCCTACAGCACTGGAGCAGTTCTCTCGCGGCTGAGCTGAAGCCGCAAGGCATCGACGTCGAGCTCGTTCTCAGCTACCTCATTACCACCGCTATGAGCAAGGTCCGCCGCTCAAGCGCCATGATCCCGACACCCAAGAACTTCGTCCGTGCCACTCTCAGCAAGATTGGCTCTGGCAGCTACCAGAACTTCGCCTACACCTACACTCCTTGGTGGACGCACGCTCTTATGCTGTGGGCTGTTGAGAGCACCATTGGTGCCGCCCACCACCTGGCCCTTTGGTTCAACCTGAAGATGCACGTTGACATTCGCAACCGTGCTCTTAGGAAGGCGGCTCGCGAGGCCAAGAAGCAGTAAATGGAGCAGAAAGTATCATCTGTTGTGGTCGATGAGTCGCGCAGTCTAACACGCTATTGCTTTTAAAGCTGGCCGAAGTGCCGTGACGATATATGGGCGAAACCAAGCGCCTAAAGAAGTTTCATTGTGATCTCTTCTGAGATATGAAGCATGGATGAAGAAAGAACATGTAGATGAGAGGTGAATAACAGTGGCTTGGGCTCAGGGTGTAGTGGCCATTTGCATGAGTTATGTAGGAATAACGGCTCGGGTCACGGTTTCAAAGGGACTAGAATAAAAAAGCGAGTACTTAATATGAGAGAGAGAGAACCCGTTCGAGATGAAGGAGATTTTAATCAACCAAAGTAAGGTACCTGAGTTTAGTACCCAAAGCTCGCAGAGCTACTGCAAGCGCAAGCTTCGAGTGGTGCAAACGTCAGGGTCAGCCTTGTGTCCCAATGTGGCTTAGCGCGGCTCCAGGCGCGAAAATTCCAAGCGTTTGGCGGCCCCAGCCTCTTGAGCTCCTCCAGAAATTGTTTACTGCTGCGTTTTACTGCCCTCGCTCGAATTACCTTCACCTTTCCACACCGAGCCATCGAAGCTCCAATTCTTTTCATTCCCTTTGTCCGGCACGAGCTGCGCAAGGCTCCGCATCGCACACCCCTAGAAGAATATTTTCCACTTCTCGAATCCTCCAATTGACAGGATCACACCTGCCATCACCTGTTGATGATTCGGTAGCGCGACTCCAAACCGCCTTCACTGGCCGCCAGTTTGCGACGCGTTTGCCCGCCTTTCACTACCCCGATCGATCGAACTACTCGACGACAACATGTCCTACCCCCAGATGACGCCGATGCGGCCGGTGCCAGGCGCCTTCCTCAACACGCCCGCAGCCTCCAGATTCGCCAACGACAACGAGCCGGTTAGACGACGACTCTTTGCGGAGGGCGAAGCACCTTCAAGCAACAGTGGCGCGCTGGTGGCAGGATCAAATTTGGCACCCGCTACGGTTGCATCAACCAGCACAAGTGGAGGATTGGTGTCGACCTCATCTGCTCCGGCTCCCCAGCAAAACCTCCCGCCCGTCACGAGAGCAGCTCAAGCGGTCAACCAGTTCCTCCAGTCCGACGAGAACTACCCCGAGCTCGATTCCTACTGCAGGCGTAAGTTCACTGCTCTTGCCTTTATCTAACCTTTCGCGCGACGGCTACTGACATCCACATAGCAGGAGCATCGTCAGACTATGACTGCAACACGCTCGACTCGCCCTGGGCGCCCTTCCACAAGACCCAGATGTACCCGATCCCGAACCAGGTTTTCAGCCACTACAATACCGGCCAGCTCCAGACGTTGATGGGCTTGTTCGCCGAGATCAACCATGCCTGGGTGGTCATCGACAACTCACTATTCCTATGGGACTACACCCACCCAGATCCCGAACTTATTGGTTTCGAGGACCAACCGCACACGATTCACGCCGTTGCTCTCGTTGCACCCAAGCCTGGCATTTTTGTCAACACCATTACGCACATTCTAGTTGTTGCGACGTCGTCTGAGATGATTCTCCTCGGTCTTTCTGCTGAAACCACGCCATCGGGGACCAAGACCGTTTCGCTTTATAGCACCAAGCTTAACCTCCCTCTCCGAGGCACCGATGTCAGAGTTATCGCTGGCACTGCGGACGGCCGCATCTTCTTTGGAGGCAGTAACGACACCGATATCCACGAGCTTTACTACCAGCAGGAGGAGAAGTGGTTTTCAAACAGATGCGGCAAGATCAACCACACCAACCCAGGCTGGTCTTCAGTCGTCACTCTCCAGAGTGGATTCTGGGCACAAAAGTCTCCGGAAGGCCTTCAGAGCATTGTGATTGACGATTCCCGGAAGCTCGTCTACACACTTTCGACAAGATCCACCATTCGTACATACCACATGGACGGGCCTAACAAGCTCACCAAGGTCATCGAAAAGGAGCGCAACGCCTGTCTACGCGACATCACCCACATGATTACTCAGTCCCCTCTCCTCAACGACCGAACTGCCTTTGTTGCCATCAGCGCCATTCCATCACGAGAGGCGTCGAAGCTGCACCTTATGGCTCTTACCAATACTGGCTGCCGTCTGTTCCTTAGCGCGACGAGCTCTGCTTCGTACATGATTGGTGGCGTCTCTTCAAACACGCCCCCTCAGAGCATGCAGGTCCAGTTCATCAAGTTCCCCCCGTCGGACAAGCCTGGACGATCCGGCACTAACAGCGCTGGTGATGCGGTTATCGATCTTGGCTCAAAGGCCCTGGAGTTAAGTAGGCTTGGAGCTCGATTTGCGCCAGGATACTTTTTGGATTTCGTCGTTAAGGACAACGATCCGAACATCGATCTCCTCTTCGTTTCTGCTCCCGAGACTGGCCGAATCAAGGCCAACTCGTCTTCAGCTGCGCTCAAGTACTACGAGCACGGAAACTGGATCGATATTGGAAGCAGAGCCGAAGATGTCGGTTTGGTGACCAAGCCGTTTGCCGCAGCAAACCAACCCGTTGGCTTTGGAAACGAGCTTGCGGTTCAGTTCGATCAGCCGGCCACCGAGTTTGCCGTGCTGACCAATACTGGTGTTCACATCATCCGCCGCCGCCGGTTGGTAGATACTTTCGCTGCTGCCATTCGTGGTGCAGTGGGAGACGAAGGTCTGGAGCTGGAGACCCGGAAGTTCATTTCTCGGTATGGCCGCGTGGAAACCATCTCCTGCGCTCTTGCTGTAGCTTGCGGTCATGGCGGTGATGCTAGGCCCGGCGCAACGCGCGCAATCGATCAGGCCACAGAAGACCGCGCAAGGACTGTATTCGTCGACTACGGTGGCCAGCCCTCAATCACGGAGGCCGATGGTACCCCTCTCAACACAACCTCCGTTCGCCTGTCCCCGAGGCACGATGCTCTCAGTGTTTATCTCACCCGCCTCATTCGCACATTGTGGAAGAACCACGTGGTCGCTCTTGCTGCCAGCCCTACCGGCGGCGTTGCGATTCAATCCATGGTACCCATCGCAAAGCTTCACTCCACTCAGGAGCAGCTGGAGCGTCTCCGGAGATTCCTTGATGCAAACAAGAGTTTTATTCAGGGCCTGTCAGGTCCTTCCGATCTTCAAAGAGTGGCCAGCAAGCAAGAGGAAGTCGCCCTCCAGGCAGAGCACCAAGCCCTGCATGCACTTCAGAAACTGATGGAGAGCATCTCCGAGGGCATCTCGTTCGTCTTGATGCTCTTTGACGAGCGTGTCAGTGACATCTTCACGAGACTGGATGCGACGGCGCAGCAAGGACTGAAAAATCTCACATACGAGAGCCTATTCTCACAGTCTTCAGGCAAGGATCTTGCCAAGCTGTTGGTCAAGTCCATCGTCAATCGCAACATTGAGAGCGGTTCCAACGTCGAGACTGTCGCGGATGCTCTTCGGAGACGCTGTGGCAGTTTCTGCAGCCCCGATGATGTTGTCATCTTCAAGGCTCAGGAGCAGTTGAAGAGAGCGTCTGAGCAGCCGTCCAACAGCAACCAGTCTCGCGCGCTTCTGCATGAGAGTTTGAGGCTCTTTGAGCGCGTCGCCGGTGCTCTTTCATTTGCCAACCTACATAACGCCGTCTCGCAGTACATCGACCTGAAGTACTACGCCGGTGCAATCCAGCTCTGCCTCACTGTTGCCCGTGAGAAGGATAGAGGCAACACCGCTCTGTCATGGGTCCATGATGGCAAGCCCGCTAACGACCCTCGGGCTAACGCCTTCTCGGAGCGTAGGAAATGCTACGAACTAATCCACGAGGCTCTTCAACACCTGGATGCCGCGTCAAGCAGGGAACCGGAGACGATCGACGGTAGACTGACTTTGATGGGCACTAAACGCCTCGAGGCCTATAGCGTAGTGAACGACTCGGACGACGAGGTCTTCCACTTCGACCTTTACGAGTGGTACATCGAGCAGGGGTGGACTGACAGAATTCTTGCTATCGAATCACCACACGTCATCACATACCTCCAGAGTCTGGCGAGGAGCAACGTGAACCATGCCGACCTTCTCTGCAGGTTCTATACCCAACGCGAGCGGTACTTTGAGGCTGCTCAGGTCCAGAATGATCTTGCCCAATCAGACTTCGCCATTGGTATCAAGGACAGGATTATCCTTCTCAGCAAGGCCAAGGCGAATGCCAGCGTTGCTACGGCAGGTGTTGGCAGGCAACAACAGCAGGTTCTGGCCCACGAAGTCAGTGAGCTTCTCGACATTGCCAACATCCAGGATGACTTGTTGGAGAGGCTCAAGGCCGACAGCCGCGTTGACCCTGATCGCAAGGCTCAAATTGAGGAAGCGTTGGATGGTCAGGTGATAAGCTTGTCAGACGTGAGTACCCCAGTGTCGCGGTCAGCTTTGCAGTGAGACTAATATTTAACAGCTGTTCAACCAATATGCCGACCAAGCGAATTACTATGATCTGTGCCTCCTCATCTACCACAGCGCCGATTACCGCAACCCCAGCACAATCTCCCAAACATGGGTCAGCCTCATCGAGCAGATCCACGAGGAGGCTGTAGAGCGAATGGAGGAAGCTGGTCCCGGCATCCCTGTTCTGCCCTCACCCTACGAATCTGTGTCAGTCAAGGTACAGAACATCGCCCACCGTACTTCTCTGGATAGCTTCATCTTCCCGGTGCCCGTCCTGCTTCCCGAGATTTGTCGGTATGCCGTTGAATACCACCAAGATGCTGAGATCGGTGCGGACCCCACCTGGCCTGTGCAGCTCTTCCTCAGCCTCGGTGTATCCAATGACATGGTCACTCGCGTTCTCGAGAGCGTTTTTGATACCCAAGACTATGGCTTCAGTGGTAACAACCGCAACCGCATCATTGAGCTCATTATATTCTCTGTTGATGTTTGGCAACGCGAGGTCAAGCGTCGTGGAGCTGCCTCGATGAAGGGCGATGGTGCCCTTGGTGCGTGGGTTAAGGACCTGCTCAGCAGATGCGAGGCATCACTGCCCCCTGCTGGCCACGGGTCGAACCCGGGTGGCATGGACTTGTCAGAAGTGCGGAGACGTCTGCGGACGGTGAAGAGAGATGTTGATGGCCTTGTTGAGAGAGGTCCCTCTGGAAGCTTGCGCTTCCTGTAATGTCTGGAACTTTATTGGCGTGATGGGGGCGGCGGATGGGAGTTTTCTCAAAGGCGTGTGGAGAGAAGAAACACAAAACTAGATAAAGACTGAACTACGGACTTGGGCTCTCAGAGTGAGCCACGGAAAGTGTACAAAGAAGATGCGAAAAGAAACCTTGTATTTGACGCGGACGGGGTTTTGGGCCGGGGCGCGGCTGGTTAGGCGGTGTAGGCTTAGGCTTAGGCTTTGGATGTCTAGTTGGTGTTATTATATGAACACTTTTCCCAGCACTTGAGAGGCCGGACTTTGACTGTGGCTTAGCTATGATAATGTGATTTGAGAAAATGGTCATAAGAAATTCGGGTGGGAGGCTTGGTGGTGAGATGGAGCAATGTGGTCCACATATGGGTGTGTCCCTCGCCGCTCGCCCTCACGTTGATGCGCCTTGGAGCTGAATGAGCAATAGTCCAACGCGCACGTTTCATTGTCGAGTCCATCAGAAGTGTTAGTCGTCAACTCAAGTCGCGATGGCTGAGCCAGATTGAGCGAGATTGAGCTTGCCGGCGACTTATCGGAAACTTCCCCGGTCTGATTCCCACCACACCAAGTGAGATCCTGCTGACTTATATTTCCGAGGTTTCAGGCTATATCAGCAGGCAGGTTTCCTTTCAATTCGAACGACCAGAGGTCAACCCAAACCGTCCTGGCTTTTGATCACTCTTACGTGCCTGGGTACCCCAAGCATTTACACATCTCTCTGACACCAGGAAACTTGGCGACTTACTCTGTCCTTACTCAAATACCAGCGCAACAATGACAGCCACCACCGCCCCCCAGTCCGCAGGCCCCATGGCACCCATCTTCCGCTCCATGGACAAGACCATCGGCGCGCACTGGGAAGAAACCATGATTGAGATGAGCCGGACGATGATGGTGCCCCTCAATTCGCGGCTTATGAAGCAGATGGGGTTGGGCCAGCACACGACGGAGCCCATTGCCTTTCTCGACAGCGCTTGTGGGGCTGGTCCGGCTACGCAGGAGTTGGTCAAGGTTGTGTCCCGAGAGGTGTTGGACAAGAGCGAGGTCATTTGTGCGGATGGGTCGCCTATGATGGTTGGGTTAGTGGAGAGGAGGATTCGGGAGGAGGGGTGGGTTGGGGCGAGTGCGAGGGTTTTGGATGCTATGGTAAGCTTGACTATCTTTCCTATATTACCTAGTGAACTTTGAGATTGTGGCTAAGGGAATTTCTCCGTTACTGATGTGCTGTCGGGGCAGGACACTGGGTTAGCTGAGAACTCGATGACGCACGTAGTCATCAGCCTCGGTCTACATCTCATCCCCCACCCAGACAAAACCATCAAAGACGTCGTCAGGATCCTCAGGCCCGATGGGGTCTTCGGCTGTATCACACCGCATGTCGACCATATAGGCTGGGTCGCGGACGTGAGGTCAGCAATCGCATCCTTCCCGTTTGACGCGCCGTTCGAGGAGAAGAACCGTGCGCAGGTTCACGATGTCGGGCGGTGGTACGACGAGGCTTGGGTCAAGGGGTATCTACAGGACAATGGGTTCAAGGACGTCAAGACGTGTTTGGAGAGCGGGACGGTGAGGGTGAGGGACGCGAGGCACTGGTTGGATGTGTTTGGGCCAGTTGTTGCATTGATTGTGAACACGGAGTGGAGTGAGGAGTTGAGGGGGGAGCATGGATTGGAGGAGGTGAAGGGGTTGATTAGGGAGCATTTGGAAGGGAAGTATGAGGGGAAGGGGTGGGATGTTGGGTTTGCCTGCATTGTTGCTTCTGGGACTGTTGCGAAGTAAGGTAGGGACGAGGCCGTCGGGGGGTCCTGGCAGAGGAGGATGAGACTCTTGAGGATTTGTTGGTCTGGGCCGCTGTAGGTTTCAAGGCAAGATGTTGACAGAAGCAAATTGGGAGACGATTTGGAGGAGGAAACGAGTATCCAAAGCTGAGCTAAACTGTCTACTTGAAGGTAGTCGTGTCTCAGACGAAGCCATGACGAAAACAGTTCCGCGTGCGCGGGGTCTCTCGACCAACATTGTGGCGCTTGTTTGTGCGGCTGATATGTCTTATTTGGTCCCATGCCTTAGTTATTTCCTCTCTTGTACTGAAAACAAAGTTATTTGCTGAATATTACGGCTTGGTTAGGGCTGCGGACTCACGTTACTATTCGTCAATACACGACCTTGGTGAATTTATCTGTCGCACACTTGTGATGTACGGTAGCCGCATCTGGCTCGGGCCGCACCTGAAGGAGGGAAGGGGGTACATTAGCCATGGGCCAGAGTGACTGCCAAGATGCCATATTATAACGACATGTTTAGTACAGACCTCGCGAGTAAAGACATGAACACTGAGAAGTACCAATGTTGTTTCTCTAAACCATGCCCAATGCCCATGATGTGAGACTCAGGCGGATTCGAGGCCAATGGCTCGAAGCCGTGAAGTTGGCGATGCCTCTTTTGGAACAAGCCGCCCGCTGGCTCACGAGTTGAGTCGGAATTCACTTAGATGCCTCCCTTGGCAAGCGTCTCTGGCGCCGCAAGCGACTCGGAGAAGCAGAAGTACAAAAGTCCTGATACTTCTTGAGTGCTCTGTGTTCTCCTTGATTGCTCTAGGCTGTACCCTTCATTAGTTTAAACGCAAGATTGTTAGGGTTGATCGATACTCTTCATGATGCTGTCACTTGCGCGGTTTGTCGGCGTACTTGCCCTCATCGCTCCCGTTGCGCAGACCGCGCCGACTAAAGAATTTTTTGCAGAGACTAAGGGGAACTGCAGCAAGGTCCAAGTAGCCGTTCTCGGTGCTGGCCTCGCAGGAATTACGGCTGCCCAAACACTGGTAAATGCGTCCATCACAGATTTTGTCATCGTTGAGTACAATAATCGGATTGGTGGACGCGTTTACAACCGACCCTTTGGAAAGAAGCCGGGTACGAATGAGTCCTATTTTGTAGAGCTTGGTGCGAACTGGTATGTAGCTCCAGAATAATTTTGGTGTTTTAGCCTATTTACATCACCAACAGGGTTCAAGGAACGGAAAGTGAAACAGAGGAAAATCCGATTTTGACTCTGGTTAAGAAGCACAACCTGAGAAACACGCTTTCTGACTTCGACAATGTTACAGCCTTCAACGAGACTGGCCAATTATGGCCTGGAGAATGGACAGACAAGTTTGACAAGTTGGATGAGTTGTTCGTAAATGTCACGAGGAAGTACGAGTACGACGCTGGCGAAATCATCCTGAAGAATCAGCAAGATCGCAGTGCCCGTGCCGGTCTCGCAATCGCAGGCTGGAAGCCGGGCAGTGACCCGCTGGCACAAGCTATCGAATGGTCTTCCATAGACTTCGAATATGCTAATCCACCGGAGAAGACGTCCCAACAGTACTCCGTAGTCAACACCAACACATCGTTCAAGCGCTGGAAGGATGACAACAACCTGGTGCACGACGAGCGAGGGTTTGCCACATTCTTCCAGGAAGAAGCGAAGCGCTTCCTAAACGAGACAACCCAGCTGAGGCTTGGGACTATCGTCCAGAACATTACCTACTCTGACGACAGTGTCACAGTGCATAATGGGGACGGCACTTGCATCGTCGCCGACTACGCCATCTGCACGTTTTCGCTGGGTGTCTTGCAGAAGGAGGTGGTTAACTTCTCGCCAGAGCTGCCGCTTTGGAAACGAACGGCCATCCAGTCAATGACTATGGGTACTTACACGAAGATCTTTATGCAATTCAAGCCAGAAGACGTGTTCTGGGACAAGAGCACACAATTCTTTCTGTATGCCGACCCAGTGCAGCGAGGTTACTATCCCTACTTCCAGTCACTGGATCACAAAGACTTTGTGGACGGCTCCGGCATCATCTTTGTCACCGTCGTCGACCAGCAATCTTACACCGTGGAGGCTCAGGACTTTGATACTACGAAGAAACAAATCATGGACGTTCTGAAGGACATGTTCCGAAAAGAGATTCCCGAACCCATTGACTTTTATTATCACAACTGGACTCGCGAACCTTGGGCATACGGGTCTTACTCGAACTGGCCTCCGGCCCTGACGTTGGAGATGCATCAAAACATCCGCGCCAATCTCGGAAACTTGTGGTTTGCTGGCGAGGCCACTCACCCGCAGTACTTTGGCTTCTTACAAGGTGCATATTACGAGGGGAAGAACGCGGGTGAAGCTGTTTCTGGGTGCATCAAGAACAAGGATGACTGTGTGAACCTGAGATCGGTGGCGTACGATGTGTTAAACGGAACGACAAGCACCGATAAGTACACAAAGGTGAATGGATGGAGCACCAAGACTTTTGTAAAGGAACTTGGCATAAACATCAAGAGGTACTTGGGCTTATTGAAAGAGTAGAAGCCACAAAATAGAATAGGAATGACTATACTATCTACATTGCGAACGTACCCCAGTTGTACACTCCAAAGTTGACTGTTGATACCCAAGGACCTACTTGACACATGAGTTTGCACTTCATGTTATGTTGGTACCTCACTTGGAAACACGGAAGCGCAACTTATCACTTGTGATCGTGAATTTTATCTTGAAACCAGGATACAAAGTATGCTTCAGTCATTAATGGAAGCCAGTATTGAAAAGGACCGGATATGGTGTTCTTGGTAATCATATATGGCTGATTATCGGGCATTGGTACCTAGGAGCCTCGTAGGCATCGCGAATGTTAGGTAATAATTCCTTGCAGGCGGTGAGGCATGCCAAGCCTGCTTGAGTCTGGCCTTCAAGGTGTGTAGCCCGCGTTAACTGATCTGTCTGAACACCTTGACTGTAATCCCCGCTTCCATCGGGCCTTTACAATTTGGACATGGCTCTCTAAAGCGTCCGCGTGTAGTAAATTCGTTGAATTAGAAGTCAAGATTCATAAACAGAAAATACCTCCGATAAATATAGTGAACATATCCATTCGCCAAGCCATAAGAGCATGCTTACTATGAAGTTCTCATGTGGAACCTTTGCCTAGTACATGTACCAATACCAACTATTATACATTTTCTCACGGCGTTTTAGCTGTATTGATTTTGTTCGCTGTATCTCAATGGGTGATGCTCTTTAGAGGCAAACTTTGCAGGGACACTCAGGACTTTAGGCACTTTATACTTCTTATCAACCGTGGCAGCCATATATGGCTAACCCGATGACGTACCTCAGCTTGGGGATACGGCTATATTTCGGCGAAGAGAGTGGCTTCGTTTCAGTCAGGCGAACATGGGGGGTATGGGCCTAGGGGGCAGGGGGCAGGACGTCGTGAAAATGAGACCAATGTGGTAATTGCTTCCTTAAGTTTGCTTGGCCTCAGATTGGGTCCTTGGGCTCTGATCCCATGTCCAATGTACCTTGCCTTACCCGCGCCACGACGATGGCACTAGGTAAGTGGGCTTAGATGGCATCTTTGAAGCGATCTTTTAGGCAAGAGTTTTATAAGAAATCACACAGGAGCTTGTGGCACATGAACGCTGTGCTCTGCGCGGGGAAAACGGCGGTGACGGATGCCCAATCCCATCCAACCTGGCTCTCGTGACGGAATTGAATCGCACTGGGCTACCAACAGCAATGCACGCTCACGGCAGAGGCTCCACTGCCGCTGCATTCTGCGCATCAACTGAGAACACGACATAGTTGCCCAGCTGGGAATCTAGTGCGTCCGGTGCTTGATCTAAAAGTACCTGTCTCTAGCACCAGCGGTCTTTTTAGAATCGGACAGACAGCAACGGGCGCCCTTGACTACATTGCCCAATCAGACCATGTTCATTTCTCGAACCCTAGAGTGTCCGAAACAAGAACAGCTAAAAGGACCTGCGAATACTTGGAGATATCTCATTCATTGACGCGCCGTTCCACCTAGTACAGAATCGTTCAAGCTATCCAGTATTTGCCATGTGTTCGTGTCTTCGTAAAAAGACCGTAAGTTCACAAGATGATCCACCAAGGGCTGGTTTTTCAAATGTACTTAACCTCAGACTCTTCCTCCCCGTGAAGATGTTATCATGGAGATGTTATCATAAACCTGGAGCGAAGTCATTCTCGCACCATGGATTCTTTCTTCCTCCCAAATTACGGCGCAAATCCCTCCATCGTAAGGCTGAATGCCATCGATGATGAAGAAATGCCCGACTCCATTCCGTTTACCACTTCGCCATTTCCTGATATCCTTGTTTCAACACCCGATGCGGCTGAAATGACAGTATTTTCTACATCTCACAACGGCTTCTCTGATTCAGCAATGCTCGGCTTCCTGCCTGCAGACCCCTTTGCAGTTCAACCCTCGCCCACCTCGTCACCAATGCTTAGGCCTCCCACCGACAGAACTGGGAGCCCGTCAACGACGCCATTCAGCATGGATGTCTTGCAGTCAACACTCGGAAGAGATTTTCCCCAGCCATCGTGGGGTATTCTGACTGATGGACCAGCTGGTCCCATCGACATATCACCTCTCCTCCCTGGTACTCCAGCGTTCCTGAGTCCCCGACCAAATTCTCTTGCTAGGTCGGCTACGAGCTCAGCCTCCCCGAAAAGATCTCCATCTGTAACCAATGAAGAGTGGGAACGTCTCAAGAAGGACATCAAACGGCTATACATGGAAGAAAGCTTCACGATGCAGGATACCGTGAAGATCTTGCGTGAACAATTCAACTTCTGTGTGACGTAAGTGAAGGTCACCTGCGCTGTTGCAAAGGTCTAATTTCTCTAGTGCAAGGCAATGCAAAAGGCGTTGCCTAGAGAAGTGGAATTGGAGGAAAAATGATACCGAGTCTGCTCGGCAGCTTCGTCGGGACGGCAAGAGCCCAGTAACCCCCAACAAGAAGACAGCACGACAGCAACGCCGGCCACCCATCAACAGCACTAGTAGCCTGCTTGCTGAGATCTCTGCTCGAACATGTGGGCTTTGTGAAAAGCTCCTGCACTGGGTTAAAAGTCTCATCTTCAGATCCTCGAAAGAAGACGTGGAGTGGCGCCAGCTGAATCGCGTTGGTCGTCTGCCAGTCTTCGGACAAGAACTCACTTCTCAGGTCGCCGTCGGCCTGGAGCACTTCGCTTCTGGCGATCCCGACAGTGGATTCCCCGTACTGAGCCACATGTTTTGGGACCTCGGAGATTTTGTCAGGAAGAGCGACATCACTATATACGCGACCTTGCTCTTGGATATACCCTCCATATTCTATGAGTTCAAAAACGAGGTTCCTTTTCTCAACAAATACTTTCTGTATCTGCACAGTTTGTTTGGAGAGTTTCAAAAAGGCGATAGCCCAATCGCAAACGCGGTGCAGGCGATGGGTCAGCTCACAGCCATGGACTTCGATCAAGCTCGAGGCTGCTTATCACAACTCTACCGGGTCGTCGCCGATGCTTACGAAGAAATCCAGGGGCGCGACACATTTGATAGCATCGAACGGCATGTGGAGGCGATCAATGCTACTGGAAGCACTCCAGATACACAGGAGGTAGGACGAATCATCACTGCTCTCGACAACATGCAGATACTCGCCGCCTCACATCAAGGCCAGCTCCAGTCGCCCAACATCATCGAGTATGAACTCTGGAAGATTGAGCTTCTGCGGTCAATTGAGACCGGCAATCAGTTCGTGAGTCGTTGCAATAGACTCCTGGAGAGTATCGCAACCGTTGCTATCGACAAAGAATGGCGGCTTTGGGAGCCTTGGCTGCTCTGGATTTGTGGAGAGGTCATGTACGAGCTTTGCAGATTCTTCGACAAGGTTGGCAACGACGAAGAGTGGGCGGAAAATCTGGAAGGCTGCATTTTACGGTTTAGGTGTGCGATAACCATGGACGAGACCTGGGAAGAGTTGCTGGGATGGAGGGTTGTGCTTTACCGTCTTCAATTGGTTGAGTTCTGGACAGAAGCAGGAAAGCCGGAGCAGGCTGAGAAGCACAAGCGATGCATCAGAAACTCGGCTTGCTGGGAAGCAATGTTGAGAGAGCACGCGGAGCTACCTTCTTTCTTTGATTGAGCTTTTCCTATGTGTATAATGTAACTGAGTACCTGAAGTAAACGTCTGCCCAAAGGCACCAAAACTCCATGACAAATAATATTTGAGTTTCAGTGAATCTCGTCATGACAACATGAGGCATGAATTACAACTCAAACTACAACTGTTTTATTAAAGGACACCTTTTCATGTCCTTTCGGGTAGCCTGCTGCAAAAGCGGCCTTACTCTGCAGCGGGGAGCCCGAGGCATCCTCAAGCCTGGAACCTCTCTGAATGGAATGACAAGGACTCAAGAAAGCTCTCCTGCGCGGCCTGGAATTTGATCTTCATGAAGTGTGCCCAGAGACAGAGAATCTGGGACTTCGACATATGGGGAGAAACTTGCAGAGAGGTGAGCGGCAGAGTTCTATGTTGAGGGAAGTGGGAGAGCCCAACCCCCCCAAAACATGATCTAGAGCCGCCCTCGCGCAGCAGGTGCTGTGCTTGCTATAACGTAAGGCGTTTCTGCATAAAAGGTCCTTTTCAGTCCCGGCGGATGGGCTGGGTTTGATTTATGCGAACCAATCCGGCAAAGCCATGTGTGGCCAGTCATCTCTCACCTGAGCCGCAGGTATTGATGCATGGGCTTTTTAGATGCATTGCAGTTGCTGCGGCTTGCTTCAATTCGTTTCAATGGAGTGAAAATGGAGTGGACAGTCAACCAATTAATGCGTACATCCGAGAGTATGATGAGGTGCTTTACGTAGAACTCGTCACTTTTCGGCCAAGGCATACACCACATGTGCGAATCGGAAAGCCGCAGTGGGCAAGACACGCCATGCCCATTCTTTCAGTGGCTAATCACCCTTCATGATCTGGGAATAGAATTATTTGAGGAGAAGGTATATGAATGAAATAACCAGCACAAGGATTTCAGGTTCTCGTATATGGCGTTCCGAACCCTAGTTGGAAGACCAGCTAGAAAGTGTCTTCATCAATATCAATACACATCACGTCTTTCAGATTATATATCCATGCTATGGCATCATATCCTAAACGAAGCGGGCTCATGCCACCACGTGAAAGCGACTGGGAAGACAGAAAGCAAATTCTCTACAACCTATACATGCTGAAGAACTTAAGTCTTGGAAAGGTGGTTGACGAGATGTCAGCTAGTCATTCCTTTGTTGCTAGGTGAGTCATTTGTGTTAGTTCCAAACCGTAATATCCTTCTAATTCGAAATGCCCTTGCCAGTGAGAGGATGTACAAGCGCAGGTTTGTGAGGTGGGAGTGGTTTAAGTACCACACAAGAAGATTCCAAGCGACGTCCTTGAAACCTGGGAGCAAAGTCGAAAAATGCCGAGGAAAGACTACACGGCAGACTAAAACGCGGAAAGGAAAACAAACTATCCTTCGAAGCTGCGATGTGCACCAGAGAAGCTCAACCGTGGCAGGCGACCTGACGTTCAGTAGACCACAGGTCCCTTTACGCAATACGAGTTGCGAAAGCCTACGGCTAAATAGTTCGCTTTCGACCTTCCTGTTACCTCCGTGTGCTATATCCCTAGAGATGACACATTGGACTGCAAGGCTGGAAAAGAGCCTCCCCGAGAGATCCCGTTGGCCCGAAACCCCCAGGAGAAAGGCGAACTCGACCTCACTGTCAACCACCAATTGCCATTTTGGTGCAGTAGACACTCTCATCCAAAGACTTGGTGTCATGGATACCATAGTCCCGAGGCCTATGGAGAGAAGGCTCGAAATGGGGATTTTCCACGCAGGACATCAGAGCGAACCCCAGGGTCTGAAAGACCTGGACTTATCGCTTGCGGATGAGCCTCTGCACGATCTTTCGCTTGCTAGCTTCGACATTCAAACGACCAGGCTCATTCCACTCGGATCCTCTGAACTCGCCTCCGAGTTCTCGCTGAGAATTAAGATAACTGCGTTCGTTCCTCAATCATATTCGAAGAAACTCTTGTGCGTAGGGTCCAAAGAAACGTCTTTTCCCCTCAACATGGGCGACCAACTTGGAAATCAGAAGAATTCATGGCAAAGTAGAAGTCCGCCAGTGGCCGTTTACGCGGAAGAAACCATGCTGCAAAGAGATACCCCGAGGTGCATTGATGTCGGGGGACTCATACAGAGCCTGGATGAAGCTCAACAGCAGCTTCGCCAGCTGCAATCCACCTTAGCTAGTTTGGCATGGTTAGCACAAGGGTTCCGAGCTTGACCTCACCCTTGGAACGCGCTGTACCTGAAGATCTAAGTCAATGCTAGCAAGGATATAGTAGCTGAACGAGATCGATATCTGCGGATTATTCTGTAGCAAAGTAGTAATTACCTCAGTTTCCATACTTAATTGACTGTGACGCAATGGAACGAGATGTTGCTGACACGTGACTCTCACTGAAGAGTGGATCGCCTTATCGCTTATCAGCCTCTAGCCTCAGCGCAGAGCTTCGGCGACAGCTGTCAAATTGGTTGCGAACCACAGTCGAACTCCGGGGAAAGCTGGCCCGGAATAGCTCCCACCCCCGTCGCGCATAACCCCGAGTCAAGGAAATGCCCCGGCCGATCTGCTAGGACCCTTTCTCCATCTTGCCGCTTGCACGATCACCGACTATTCCATCCGCGCACACACATTATGGCGTCCCTCGCGCAATTACTCCTGGGAGCTGTCGCTCTTTGCGCTTCCGGCGTCCTCGCTGCGCATCCCGAGGATGGTCTCCCTTCGTACCACTACGGCGCACCCATCCACGTGGAGTGCATGAACCGTAGCTCGTGAGTATCTCCCCTTAGCCGTTCCTATTCATCATCAAGAGCTTCGTCTCCACTGCCTTTAGACTATAGCTCGAGCTCTAGCTAATGCCTCTTCAGCGAAACAGGCGAACATATTGAAAACTCCAACCACGAAATCGAATGGATCCCCTTCCCCTCCTGCGAAGAAACCAACAAGCCCCTCGAGTTCCAATACGGCCACGAGGGCGAAGTCAATTGCACCATCCCCATGGTCTCCGACCCCTTCTTCCACCTCCTCGAGTTCTTCATCCACAACGACGCACCTCTCGCCTGCCGTCTCCCAGCCCGACCCGCGCCTCACGTTGAGACCGTCGGCGAGAAGCCCTACGTGCAAGAATACATTCCTCTCGTCTTCGCCCTCGCCGGCACCCTCCAGCTGAGCCACTTGCACGTTAGCACGCACATGAACGTGCTCCTGCACAGCATGCCGAAGCACCACACCCGACCTCACGACTCGGGTGTCCTCGATTCCGGAACGGCGTATAGCACGAGTCCATTGAGCCATATGGACGGGATATACACAAAGAGACTTGTGATTGGTGATCCGTTGCCGCTACGGTTGTCTGTTAGATGGTTTCCGACGCCGAACCTGCCAAAGTCGGAGGGCCACGTCGAGTGGCAGGGTATGGGCGGACACGTCTACGCGAGCACCGTCTTCTACATCATCACCTCCTTCATGGCAGGCGTGCTCGTCGCGTCAACGTACTTTTTTGGAGTCGTCCTGCCCAAGAGGGTACGCGGAAGAGGCATGGGCGGCGCGACGCCACTCGGTTACGGTCTCAACGGTCTCAACGGCGTTGGCAACGGTTGGGGCTACTCCAAAGCGGCCAAGAGGATGGATTGAAAGAAAGCACCAACAAAGCGTTCGCGTCACGAGAAATCTGTACGATTTGATCCGATTCATGTATATCTGCTAGCCGCCCCCCTCTTTGAGAGGCTTTTATGATGGATGAGGGGAGTTTTATTTTGATGGACGAATTAAACTGGGATGGCCTTGACCTGCCCACTTGGACTGGGGAAATGGAGTTTTGGAATCGATCATCTGGATCCGCGCACGCGCGGGCTGACGGGAGCAGGATTTGTAGCGATATGTTAATGGAACCAATACCTGCTCCAATGGAGACCCAGCGAACTCCTCTTACTGCAACTTCTTGGTGCTGTCTGCGGTGTTCACCCGCTTCAAAATGCGCAGCCACATGTCCAGTCCCATCAGCGCCGCTTTTGAGATCAGCTTAATTTGAAGATTGATCGCAAATGTCGATTGCACTTACGGATGACCGCCCATGGGCCGTAGAGGTTGAAGACAAAGACGTTCTTCTGAGCCTGGCTGTACACGGCAGGATCCCAGTGGAAGACGTCGTAGATGCAGGTCAAGGTCGTGAGGGCGCACTCGACACAGAAGACGAGCACGGCGAGTTCGAACCCGGCAGTTGTGCCAGTATTTCTCGAGAACCTGTAGACCATCCAGGCAGCCATGGGCAGCTGGTAGACGATCTCGATATAGGTGAAGAGCTTGAACCACGAGGGGAGGTTCTCGTGAGACGCGGTGAAGAAGGGGTCGTTGTACGTGGAGATGTAGAAGTCGCGGAGGACTTGGAGGAAGTGTAATGGGGATGAGGGTGCCGCGTAGAGAGCTGATGGGTAGAATGGGACGAGGTCGACCACTGATGAGAGGATGGTCAGCTCTGGCTTCTATGGGTGAGAGGTGGTGAAGGCTGCTGAAAGACCCGAGACGGCCCAGAAACCAGAATCCTTAGTCACGGCGCCACTCTTCCGCCGATAAGTTTGCCCAAATACAAGATAGCATATAGACAGATCACAATATCAATTGACGCAAAGCGATAGAGGTTGGACTCACAAAGCATCGCCGTCAGCTGTATGCCAGAGATGACGAGGTACGCGCTGTCGCGCCAAGTTCTTGCTGAGGCAGACATGACAACCTCTTGAGATAACTCAATGATAGCAGAGCCGGGTGACTTTCTTCTGTGCTCAGATTGAGGACTTGCGCGGATTGATGACAGCCGCTTTACGATGGTCACGCCGCGTTGAGTTGAGGAAAACATCAGGGATGAGCTGGTCAGCGTAATTTCACGAAAGATCTGTGCTGACATAAGCACCAGTTCAAGCGGTGGGTGTAAGTGACGAGACAAGCTTGTCGCCGAAGGATCATTACGACGCTAGAACAAGGTTTCGGAGGAGATCTTTGGAGTTCACAAAGAGAACAGGCAATCCCTAATGCTACTTTCTATTCCCGACGTACAGAATTGACCCGCCCGACCTCATATATACCTACAGTCTCTCGACGAAAGAAGATCTGAGTCGTGCCCTCTATCGAGCTACTGGTGTCAAGCGCGCCTTCAAGGGGCCTTTATCCCACAAGATGAAGACCTGCTGCTTCTTGGCCCAGTCTTTGTAGTCCTCGTCAATTTCAATGTCAAAGTTCCAAATAAGGCGAGCCAGAATAAGTCTCATTTCAACATAGGCCAGACTGCAGCGGTTAGCGACACATTCCCGTGGAATCAGTTGGATGACGACACTCACTTCCGCCCCAAGCAATTCCGTGAGCCGATGTGGAAAGGTTGGAAAGCTTCCCTGTTATCCGATGCGAATTTCTCATCTCCCATGAATCTCTCGGGGTGAAATCCGTACGGGTCTTTGAAGTACTGCTCGTTGTGGTTTATGGCCCACTGGTGAATCGCAACAATAGTCTGGTGGCAGTATCGTCAGTAATTCCATGGAGGCCAAGTATGAGAGACTCACTCACGTTCTCAGGCACGAAATTTCCGCAGATAGTCGCTCCACCCTTGGGTGTGACTCTTGGGAGGCCCATGGAGACTGGAGGGTAGACTCTGAGCGCTTCATCCAGGCAAGCGAGCATGTAGGTCAACTTGTTGACAGATACTAGATTGATCTCCTCTTCCGTCTTGAAAGATGATCGTACCTCATCCGTAAGTTTGGCCAGACAATCCCTATTCATGAGGAGGTAGTAGGTAACTCCAGCCAGTAATGTCGCTGTCGTTTCAGAACCCCCAATGATGAGCGTGTTGCTGTTTGCTGCAAGCGTCTCGAACGAGATATTCTGTTTGACCAGTCATTAGAGAGATGATAGTCTGGCAAGGTACTAAAAATGACGTGATGACGATTACCAGTTCGTCCTTCTTCTTCAACAAGCCCTCAATCAAATCAGGCCTGCCACCCTCCTTCTTGCCGAGCTCCATACGCCTCTCCAACTTGGCCTTGGCCCTAGCCAAATTCTCGCCTCTAGCCTTCTTCGCCGCCTTCGTCGCCAAAAGCGTGAAGATGATCTTCTTCAGGAAGGGAAAATGACCTGCGGTCTGCGCGAATACACCAAGGCGAGCCGACTGGAAGATAGCCTTCACCCACGGGTGGTACTCCGACTTCTCCAAGCACCCAAACGGTTCACCAAACGCCAGATCCCCAATGATATCAAACGTCGTAAAGTTATACCACGACATCAAGTCAACGGGTTCTTCGCCGGAACAATGCTCGTGTAGGCGCTGGATCATGAGATCCACGTACTTCATGATCAGGGGCTGCTGGTCGCGAAGACTTCGCTCGCTAAAGCCGTGTGATAGTTGCCGTCTTAGCATCGCGTGCTCCGCGCCGTTCGTGTTGACGATGTTGATGGGCTGCTCGGCCGTCGGGCGGTAGAATTTTGGGGCTTTTTCGAACGTTGGCGAGCCTGCGGACCGGTGGCCCATGATGTCTTTCCAAGCGTTGACGTTGCAATAAGCCAGTTCGTCTGGAGCGACGCGGACTACGTCTCCGTATTTCTTGTGAAGTTCCAAGACGTCCATAGGAAGGGCGCCCTTGATGAGTCTGTGGCAGAAAGCCCATCTTGTCGCTCTCATGGAAATCGGCCCTGGGTAGTGCCGAAGTGGATGGAGGAAAAGGTTGTAGAAGATGCATGATACTGTGTACACTGCAATCTAGTGTGGTGTCAACTCAAGCAGTATAGGTTCGTCCGACTCTGATTAACTTACAAAAGCAGCGCATGCCGTGATGGCGGTCAAGAAGCTATGTAGAACTGCCATGCTGACGAGAGCCGATACAACGAGCTTTTGGCGTTGTTGCTAGAAAGTTTGGAAGAATAGAGGTTCTTTGAGCTAAATATATCTTCTGCAGACTGCAGGACAATAAGATCCTGATTTTCGCGAACGCGTAGTCTGTTGCGGTCCGCCAAATCTCCTTCAATTGTTACAAGCCCATCTACAAGGCTGAGTTCAGAAATGGCGAAGTTGCACAACGGGACGTAGAAGTTGAAGTCGCTGAACTTAAATTCGAACAGTGGTTGATCCCTACGGCCAGAAATAGAGCCCATGCCACTCCTGAGCGACAAGCTAAGAAGCCTGTGATAGTGCTGCCTACAGAAACCAGCAAATCATGAACAGGTACGAAAACGAGGGAGATGTAGAAGGGAAAGATAATTCCACGGATTGCTACTGGTTGATGTTGCATAGACCTTTCTCTCGGACGGACACCTGGGGCAGCAGGCGTTCGTTTCAAATTCCGAGGGCCTGGAGCTGTCACCAAGTTCGATCTCAACTCCGTGCCGCAACTTAATCATTGCAGAAGTAGTGGGCCGGCAACGGGGTTCGGTATGGGAATGTCCCAGAATACGGTCCTTTTCTGACATAGCCCAGTTCTTGAGTCGTGGTTGGCGTACGCAGCTACTGCGGTAAGTGGCTAGATGTCGATCTTGCTAATCAAATATTTCATTCCTTAGGAGTGTCGAGTTACGCGTCAAAAGTTTCGGAGTTCAAAAACGATGGCTATGCTATTTGGTCGAATATTGACTCTGTGGTGTACGTTCGTTGTCGTTGTCGTTGTCGCACGTTCGTTGCGGAAGGTGCGATAACGAGAACGAGGTACGAGCGGGAGCTAGTGAGTGATCGACAAAGCAACGGACCAGGATCCATGCGGTCCTGAACGAACTGAACCCTTGGGAGCAATGGCGGCACAGAAATCCATAGATCCACTATTTCTCCAGGCAAATTGGGCTCAGTCGTGTTCAGTAACGCGAACTCTTTTCACGAACTGTAGGATCTGGGGTCTGCTTACGCCAGTATGCGATAGCGGGCAAGGGTCAGGTGATGGAAATCGCAAATAGGAGCGGATTTCGAGATCGGGAATAGTGGATTAAGATAAACGAAGTATCTTTTGGAGAAGATACAGTCCACTGAGGTTGTCACAAGTACGGCAGGATGCGATTTACGCGGGAAACATCACCTTGTATTTGGCCATGTGGTGCCTAACTCTCATCTTGATATACGTGATCTCTATATTCTATCTAGCGCCTGCTCGTTGTGTGAACTGATCTTATCACACTACACATCAAGTTCTCTTACTCTCTTCACTACATCTATACTACGAGTCTTGGCACACGAGTGATAGCGGCATTATGAAAGGAACTACAAAGTCTAGTTCCACGGAAAAGCAGCATATTCAGAGCTCGCCAACAGAGCCTCCACCAGCCAAAATGGGACCTGGAGAGATTCCCTCTGAGGCAACCTCTGGAGAAATCTCAGACGAGGACGATAGAAATCTCGTCACCTGGGACGGAGCCGACGATCCGCAAAATCCTATGAACTGGCCCGATTCTAGAAAATGGATCAACTTGGTCTTGATGTCGCTTTTGACTATTATCTCGTAAGTTTAGCGCCCGCGATCGACTGGAACCTGGTTTCTCACTAACTCTTTCAAGCCCACTGGTACTTAGACATCTTCCTCTCCGTCAGATGTAGTGACATAGAGCTGACATTTTACAATCATACATAGGGCTCATCTATGTTCGCCCCTGGAATCCCTAGAATCCTCACAGAATTCGAAACCAACGATTCTCTCATCGCAACCTTCATCACCTCGATCTACTTCCTCGGCTTCGCCTTTGGACCTCTGGTGGTAGCGCCTTTGAGCGAGCTTTATGGCCGTGTCTACATTTACCATATCAGCAACGTCTTGTTCGTTTCTTTCTGCGTGGGTGCTGCTCTGAGCACCAGCATCGATATGCTCCTGGCATTTCGCTTCTTGATGGGTGTTGTGGGCTCAGTTCCCACAACAATCGGTGTCGGAAGCATCGTTGATGTCATGCCGATTGAGAAACGCGGACGCTCAATCTCACTCTGGGCAATTGGTCCTCTCCTGGGCCCTTCCATAGGGCCTGTCGCGGGAGGATATTTGATTCAGGCTGCCGGCTGGCGCTGGGTCTATTGGCTACTTGCGATCTTGGTATGTTGATGGAATCGTATAGTTAAGTCCAGTACCCATGCTAACAGTCAAAGGGCGGTGTTTGCAGCATTCTGGCGCTGTTGATTATGCGTGAAACCTACGCCCCGGTTCTACTAGAGCGCAAGGCCCGACGCCTACGAACGGAAACTGGGAACCACGCCCTGCGCACAAAGGCTGACCGAGATGGAAAGAAACTGATACAGAGAGCCGTGATCCGGCCATTCAAGTTTCTCTTCATGACGCCATTGGTGTCCATTATTGCCGCCTACGTCGGGATAGCTTACGGAATACTCTACCTGCTGATCGCTACGTTCTCCTTTGTCTACACCGACCAGTATCACTTTAGCGAAGGTGATGCCGGCTTGGCGTTCCTCCCAGCTGGGCTTGGGATGATGATTGGTGTCCTGACTTTTGGCAATGTACAAGATTATCTCGTCAAGAAGGCAAGAGAGGGTATGAGGCCAGGCGAGAAGTATAGGCCAGAGGTAAAGATCACGCCTTGGTTGACGATTCCGACCGGCCTAACGGTACCGATTGGGCTATTCATCTATGGCTGGACGACAGAGAACAAGATCCATTGGATTGTTCCCATGATAGGCGTTGTTATTCTGTCTGGTGGACTCACTGGAGTTACAGTAAGCCTTTCCACTCATTATATGACAATTCGACAGCTAATGTTATCAGATGTGTGTCCAAAATTACCAAATTGATTCGTACGAGAGATATGCAGCGTCAGGTTCAGCAGCTGTCACACTATCCCGATCTCTGATTGGCGCTTTGATGCCCCTTGGGGGATTGAAAATGTATGAAGCCCTGGGTTTGGGATGGGGAAACAGTCTTCTGGGCTTCATGTCCTTGGCACTGGTGCCGGTACCTGTTGGTTTGTTTTTATACGGGGGCATGATTCGGAAGAGGTTCGATCCCGTGCTGTGAGACCGAGTCAAAATGTGATTCGCCGCAGATAAACTAAATTAGGCTTGCACATCTAGAACCCAAATCCATGACTTGTTATGCACGCAAACCTGTCCCCACAACCGAATGCCACTATACTCGTGTTTATGACTGAAGATACATGTATCAATATGTGAACATACCACGTACATCAGCGGAACTTGAAAACCATACTTGCTCGTGTCAAAAGTGTATCACATTATTTGATCTTCCAACAAAGGCTGAGGGAAATGCCATACTAGATTATCAAAATCTCTTTGTTCACACATATTCCAAGCACCGGCCCACAACGCCTATCTGTGTTGAATAAGTCGTTTCAAAATTCATCATGAGCCCACCACAATCATCTAGGTAACATGGCAATAAAGATTCGAACCGGAACAGTACAGCACATTACGACAACCTGCACTCCACACCCCTCATCTCCCAAGTCGTGGTTCTCGCCATCATCCGATCATCGGCTAGTCACCCGCAACATAGGCCCGTTGCTCCCTTCGCGTTTCAAACTTTGGGAGTTGTACCTATGCAGATAATCATGGTCTGCCAGTCTACGAGGCCGGTATCGCAAAGTTAGGGCGGAGATAAAGGCGAAGAACATGCTGATAGTTCCCATTGCGAGATAAGATCTTCCCAAAAAGCTGTTGCGCCGGCCGATGCCAGAAGTTGTAGAAATGATGATAGACTTTGTGCCACGATTTTCACGAACAGGGTAGTCTGCATTTGAAACATTATTATGTCGGGTCATTGGTATCGGGGGATGGTGTGTCAAACGTACGGGAAATGACATCAAGGCGATAGATGCCTCTCTCCATCACTTCGTCTTTGTTGCGCATAGCCATCTTGCTGAACGATGAGGCAGCGGATGTTCGCATCCACACCATGAAAGACTCATCTTCTGCTGGATTAAACATGTTGCCTGAATGATATCCGTTGGGATACCTCTCTGCCCAACCTGGAGGAGGCACAATGACGCTGTCATTGGACTGGGCGGTGACTGGTACTTGGTATTTGCTCGGTTGATACAGTCCCTTTTCAACACTCTTGGCGATACCGACCGATGTCATGTTGTATGAAACGGTCCGGTTTGTACCACTCGGTATGCGCAGCGGGTTCGCGAAAGTGTCGTTGAAGTATGAGTTGGCTATCATGCCGCAAGGGTAAACAATTTTCTCCTCTGCACTACCAGCAACATTTCTTGATGCCACCGGAGCGCAATCTGAGCTCTTGATGCTATTCAATGACACCGCCTCGCCCTTCAGTTGGTCTTTATGACGAGAGTTGACATAGAGACGGTGGTTTTGATGAAAATTCGTAAGCCGGTAGTAGTACAGAACTGGGGGCTGCAAGTCTTCAGGTAGGAAGAATTCTATTGTGCAAAGAGTGTAGTTCTTGGTAACTCCGTCGAAGGTCACGGACTGATTCGACCTTTTCCACTGGTCCACAGGCTGGCCTGCTGACGAAGCCTTGAAGCGTTTCCGGACGTTGTCTGGTGGCATAACTTCAAGCCCGTTGAAGGATTCGATCTCGTCGCACTTTGTGTAGTCTATCTGCATCTCTCGAATCTTCACGTCTGTCAGTGAAGTTTTTTGACAAGAGTGAAACAAGGTACTCCAGCTTACGTTGTCATTTTGAACTAGCCAGAATATCCCCATTGATAAGCAGACGACGCCAAGTGCAAGGAAGATCTTGATTGATGACTTTGGTGTCAAAAGTGGCCTAGGAGTAAGTGTCAGAAGCTTGAACGGTGGCATGAATTTGGGATCCCGCACTTCCAAGCTTTTAGGCGTTGTTGATTAAATGGTGTCGCCTTTGGCTTTCGCGGTTTCTCCAACTGAGTCAAATCTCCAGACTTGAA